ACTTGTCATCGCTGATCATAGGGCTCGGAAGTTGATGCATTTTGCATTTTTTTTTTTTGAAACTTTTTAGACGATGCTCTCCTGGCTACAAATCTGTTTCATAAGCATGTGAATCTGAATAGGTAACTAATTTTTATTTTACATTTTTTGATGTTTATTACTTTTTAAGTCATTTTTTGACATTTTTAGGTCATTTTCCTAAATTTTAAGTCATTTTTACTGATTTCACACTAATTCATTTCTTATCGTTTCTTGTTGACCATTATGCCGATAACTTAAAACTTGGAAATTACCACAGGCTAAGATTAGTACCTATTCAATTTCATCTCGACGATTACATTTGTCGTTGTCAACAATTTCAAAGTTTTTAAATGGTGAAGAAGCTTCAAGTGAGTGTTTTCCGGATGATTTCAGTTCTGATGATTTGGTACATTTCAGATTTGCCCCAATCACTTAAGTGGACGTAGAGAAAAGTTTTTTTCCAATCATAAATATTTATTAACAGATAATSGACGTTCATTTACTTTCGATAACATAAAATATGCTCTATTTGTACAATGCAATGATTTTAATTTGTAAGCTTTGATAAATTTATCAAACAAATATTTTTTATTTTTTTATCTTCCTATTTTAAGGAAATTTTTGTCATTTTTATATCATATTTTTAATTCTATAGTAAAATAGAGTAAAATATTTTTAAAAAATGTATTTTTATTAATATAAAACTAATATTTGTAATTTTTAGGACATTTTTYGCCATTTTTAAGTCATATTCACATATTTTTAATGGCATTTTTTATTGTTTTTAAGGTCATCAACTTCCGAGCCCTAAGACCATAGAGTTTTGAAATTGTACATAACAATTAATATAATCACAATATACAAACTACAAATATACAATATGAGTACACATTTACAGTTATGAAATCCAAACAAATCCGTAGAATTCAATCAAAATAACAGATTTCCCTCCCCACTTCACCCTCAAGTTATGTTAAGGACAAAGGTATGAAGGTCAACCATTTTTCAGAATCGGGATTCTAGAATTTAATAGCAATCGAAAATGTCCATGAGGCATTTTGAGATTAGTACCTACCTAACATAAAACGATAAAACAAATAAAAATATTAAAACATTGCAATCATAGTCGCAAATAGAGGAGKGCTTAGGGGGTGTCAGCAACCCCAATTATAAAATTAGCTGCTTGTGTATCGATAACTTCTCCTAACAAAAAAAAAAACTAAAATGAGAAAATGCATAGCTTAAGCAAGTTCCTTTAGTGTTTTTTTTATGGAAATTGCGCCTATATGATTGTAACTAAATTTAATGTTAACTATAATATGTAGCTTAAGTTTAGATAAAAAATTGAAAACTAAAATTAATTGAGATGCAAATTTTAAACACACTGTAAGAATTAAAAAAAAAAATTAAGATCGTTTTTTACATAATAAAAAGTAAATGAACCTACACGGCAGCTTTGTCTAGAGAATATTATGGTGAGCAACAATTTCGTCAGTTCTTTGCGCATGAGTAGAACAGCTCACCAGGATATAGGTTAACAATAGTATTGCTGGTCTAAACCCGTTGGTAGAATATCGTCACCAAACAGCAATGGGCATTAGTCGTCTTGGCGATGGTAGTCGATGCCAAGTTGGTAATAAGTTTATCGCAAATTAGGCCCTATTTTTTGTAAAATTTCGGACTGCACACWTAATTTTACTGCTTTAAACAAAAATGTTATGCACTAGRTATTATCTTAGAAAAAGGAATGTATTGCATATATATGTATATAATAATTTAACAATACAATCAAATAAAACAACAAAATTCAAGAAATACTAATATTTTCTGCATATTATGTAATTTTTGTTTTGTAGACTGTAGTGCACACTTGTACAGTCGTGCCAGTCGTGGTGCACATAAAAATAKGGCCTGTCGCAAATACATGAAAACAATTTACTTTAGTTAATTCAACGTTTTCCGTTAAGATTTTTAATGTAAAATGTAATGGTTAGTTAAACATTTATGTAACTCAAAATATTGAAGTCAAAACRAAGAAAAATATTCTATCAACTAGTGTCAAATCAGTTGATTATCTTTTGTTCATTTCAGACATGGCACATATAGCAATAGTGCAACTCACAAATTTTAAATAATTACCAAACATTTTGTTAAAAATGCATTCTATAGATGGGTAATGCATA